TTGGGAAATACCCTTGTGTTATATCCATAACACAATTTGGGAAATACGCTTGTGTTATATCCATAACACAGCCTGTCATCTCTTACCAATTTTGTGTCTGACTAATCATCTTTATAAATAATTCAATAAAAGACTAAATTTTTCTCAAGCTGGATTAGAAATATATATTTTCACAGGATATGTCATAAAGTATAAAGTCATAAAGTTCATAGGATATGTTATATTCATAAATTATAGCTTTCCAGGAAGAAAAATAAAATCTTATCTAATTTGAAATTATAGTTTCTCATATTATTAAAATTAACATGTGATAAAACTTCTAGCCTTAGGTGAAAGCAGTTTTCCCAAAGATCTCTAAACATTTTGTTTCCAGGGGCGCCTATGTGGCTTGGCTGGTTAAGTGTCTGCCTGAGGCTAAGGTCATGATCTCCGATTCCAGCGACTGGTGCCCATGTGGGGGATGGTCCCTTCTCAGCAGGGAGTCTGCTCCTTCCTCTCCCTTACTCTCTGCTCCCCACCTTGTGCTCTGTCTCAAATAAATAAATAAAATCTTAACAACAACATCTTATGCCCAAGTGAATCACCCTCTGCCCAGTTTGAGACCACCTTCTCTGAGGATTTCCCATCATCTGGTGCCTTCAGAACACCTCCAACATGGAAGACTGCCTCTTGCTCCACCCAGGACAGTCCCAGCCCCATCTTGCCCCACTTTCCCATTCACTGTAGTGTGATTATAAAATGCATATGTTAGGGGCACCTGGGTGGCTCAGTCCTTGGGTGTCTGCCTTCGGCTCAGGTCATGATCCCAGAGTCCTGGGATCGAGCCCCACATCGGGCTTCCTGCTCAGCGGGAGGCCTGCTTCTCCCTCTCCCACTCCCTCTGCTTGTGTTCCCTCTCTTGCTGTGTCTCTCTCTGTCAAATAATAAAAAAAAAAAAAAAATGCATATGTTATATTTCAACAATAACCCTACGTTTATATCCTATTTAGACAAAACCTAAGTGAACAGAAGTATAACCACATTGCAGATAAATTGAGAGACAACTATTATCCTGTCCACCCCTCAGTGCAGAGACTGAACATAAGACACTTTTGCGAAACCACTGCACAACTCAGTATCTCATTGCAAGCACAGGAGATGGACCAAGGCCTTTCTAAGCAATAGTGCTCACATCTATTCAGTGAAACACCATCAAATAACAAGGCTCTTTGAAAAACATGAAGAAAGGCCGATACATCTAATTTCATTATACAAACCAAAGAAAATGTTACTGGCAGAAAATATGATGTTTGCTATGTAAAATAATGTGCATGAACACACACACACAAATACACACACACAGTCTACATGAACTCTACTGGCTACTTCAAAATTTTTCTTGTCTGTGTTTTGTTTATACATTTTATTCTCTAGAAGGCAAACAATGAACAGCAGCAAGTACAAAAAGCTTAAGAAAAATTATAGAAAAATAACTTAAACATAAAATTGGGATAATTATGTCCATTCACTTTATTTTATAAAGTGAGGAAAGATGGGCATTATTTAATTTAGCAGTGAAACATTTGAAAACATTTGAAAAAAAGAGACATAGGGTAGCCTTATGACAAAGTAACAGTACTAAGGAAAAACAGCTCTGGTCTCAGGAAATCCAAGCGGAAGAAGAAGGAAAAAATTTAAACAGACATTAACAACACTCAATGGATTATGTAATAATAATAAAAATAATAAAATTTTATATAAGCACTTTACAGACTGAAAATGCATTTCTATGTACATTGCAGTTCTGATGTTTACTCCCTCCTCTAGATGAGAAACTGAGGCAAAGAGTGGAGTGTCTACCTAAAACCATAGTCCCTGTACCAACCTCACAGCAGGTGGTATTCACAGAGCTGGTCCCGTGGAGTCTATTCATCCATGTCAGGGTCAATGAACACACAGAGCTCAAGACTCAGAAGGAGCTGATATTTGGCTCTTCCCTTTTCAGGTTCTCTAAATAATTCAAGGAGCGTATCTTGTGTGTAGACTCTCCAGTTTCAATCCTCACGTTTCTTCAAACATCTGAAGTCCAGGTTTCCTTTTTTTCTGTTTTGTTTGGTTTGTTTTTGTTGTTGCTATTGTTCTTTTTTTCAGGATTACTTCCCTTTTCAAGATCCCAAATTTTCCATTAAGGCTGGTTTATGGACACAAAGGGAATGAATTTCCTATAGGACTATGGTTGTTTGAACAAGTTCATCCTCAGTTTTCCAAATCCCAAGTACTTTAAGCAAAGCCTTTGGCCAATTAATCGGCTGGCAGCAGAACACCGTGTGCTTTAAGACACAGAACACTTTGTCTCATATCAGGGTTTGTGGTGCCAACAAGATAAGGGCATTGGAGCTCTCTTGGTAAAGACACAAGTGAGGGGGGGCTGCCTGGGTGGCTCAGTGGGTGAAGCCTCTACCTTCAGCTCAGGTCCTGATCTCAGGGTTCTGGGATCAAGTCCCACATAGGGCTCTCTGCTTAGGCAGGGAGCCTGCCTCCTCCTCTCTTTCTCTCTTGTGATCTCTCTCTCTGTCAAATACATAAAATCTTAAAAAAAAAAAAAAAAAAAAGACACAAGTGAGGGAGTCTATGACCAAGGCCAGTGGTACAGTTTGGAATTATGAGTTTCGTTTTGTTTTGAGTTGGAAGGTCAAGTTGAGAGGTATATATGCCCTGGTATAAGGTCTATCAACTTAATTCAGAAGGGGGCAGGTTGTGGGAAGATTCCAAAAGGCAAATGCAACTAACTGATGAATCTTTGCCCCTAATGCGGAACCCCATCAGGCCAGCCACACAATAGTGCAGGTGTGGTGGTAGATCAGAATGCTGTGCAGATGTGTTCATAGTAGGGGGTGTATGTAGTTAGAACCTTAAGGCACAGTTGCTGGAGTTCCTAAGTGCTGGGAAAGTTCATAATGTATTATGATGTATTATAATGACTATGCAAGTGATCTTCAAATTCTTTGTGGTCTCAAAACTGCTCTCTTTACAGGGGTGCCTGGGGGGCTCAGTCAGTTGAGAATCCAACTCTTGATTTTGGCTCAGGTCATGATCTCAGTGTCATGAGATTGAGCCATGAGGCGGGCTCCGTGCTCAGTGTGGAGTCTCCTTGTCCCCCTCCTTCTGCTCCCCCCACCCCGTTCATGCTTTCTCTCTCTCTCAAATAAATAAATAGAATCTTAAAAAAAAAAAAAGCCCTTTACATTCAAATTTAGTGAAGACCCTGTGCTTGGTTTAGGTGGCTTGTATCTGTTAATATGTACTTTCAAAATTAAACTTGAGTCATTTGTAAAATACTTCGTAAAATATTTATTTTTTCATTCATTAAAAATAACAATATATCAACTGCATGTTCACATAAATAAAATATTTTTATGAAAAACAAATATATTTTCAAAGCATAAAATTGTGAAAAGAATGATATTTTATATTTTGTAAATCTGTTTAATATCTATCTCAATAGATACAGGTAGATCCTCATATCTGTTTCTGTATTCATCTATAGCAACACCACACAGCATTAAGGCTCTGAAAAATGCCACTGTATACTAATAGAGGATGAAAGTTAAAAAGGAATAGAAAAGCATAGTATTATGAAAACAGATTTGACCTTGTGAACCCCAGAAAGAGTTCTATGGCCTCCATGGGTCTCCAAACTACATTTTGAGAATACTGTCCTAGGATTATGTCTTCAATAGCATTCAACTGGCTATATTTGGTTATGACCATGAGTCTATTTATGGGGTCTGGCTGATCTAAGAAAGTAACAGACCAAGGATAAATAGTAAATTTGGATATGAAAGACCAAGAACATGATGAAAGTCCTAACACAGAAGGGGAGTTCACAGTGAAGTAATAAGGGAAAAGCTGGTAGATAAGAGAAAAAGTAAACAAGATTATAACGAGTTAAAAGTCAACAAGAACTCCAATCCCAGGGCAGAGACTATTTCCCCTAAGCCATATCTTTAAATATGCATCTCCACCTGGGTGATTTCTAGTCTACAGAAGAGTTAGAGATTTGTAATTGAATCCAGTCATTCAGGATAACAGCAAGGACCCTAAGATTATCTCCTAAGGAAAATTAACTGTTAATTTCCTGGAAGTGCATTTAAGGTCTGTAAATAAAAGTACTTATCAAATTTGCAGTAAGAGTATCAGTAGTACCTATGGAAGTAGTGGTTGCAAGGTTTAGGAAGTTATGTTTTTAACATCTATAATCACATTATTTCCTATGATAGTAAAAGTAACATCTAACATTTTTAATTTAATTATTTTAGTTCCTGGAGTCTAAATATATACAAGATCTACAGTGGTAGCACTTTCCATATCTATGGTTATACCTAGGATTGTTTTAGAAGTGAGAATGTTTTCAGGATGTGTAATAGTGTATTACTCTATTGATAGCCATGGTATATGGAAAAATCCATAAGAAAATAAGGCATGATTTTTAACATTACTAATTAAATAATTACTGTAATATTAACAACTGTTGCTACAGTGGCCATCTGAGTGCCACATATCACCAGTGCTTTCATTTATGGTATCATGTCCCATAACCTAAGAACAAGTTAGCTTACTTTAATAACTACATCTAAAGCAATAGTATTTACAGAGACTAATATGGTATTTTCTGAGATACCAAAATCATCTATGAAGTCTCTAGCAAGGATATATAAAATATTTACAGTTTAATTGATAGGTCTATAGGGCTCATAATTTTTAAAATAGGAGTACATATTCTGGCTGCAGAAGAAGTATCCATGGTTTCTTTAATTATACTTATAAAAATAGTCATGGATGTATCTTTAGACATATCAGCTGTGTCTATAGTGCTTGGAGTAGCCATATTTATAAAAACTGGTGTTAATATCTGTGAAAACTTATGTAGCATAAAATCATGTATCTTTCATTGATTTTTTATATCTGTAATAGTTGTTTTAAAGAGATGTCTATAGTAATTATACTGCTTTGGATAGTAATCATGGAACTAGAGTAGCATTTATGGCATTTTCAATATAAGTTGGTATGGTAGCAGAAGCATTCATTGTTGTTCTATCAAGAATGATAGTATTTAGAACATATGTGGTAGTATTTATAATACTGGTGGTAGCATTAGTTGTAATAATAGGTAAATAACTGACTGTAGAGTTTTTTGTTACCTGATGGTGAGTTGTTGTGTCTACAAGAGTAGTCATTGATGTGTCTAAGGCTATTGTGGTATTTGGAATAGAAACATGGGTAGTATTACCTGGAACACTGCTAGAGTTATCTGCATCAGTAATATTTACTGCCTGCCCTGTACTATTTATAGTATTGGTGGTAGAGTTAGCTATGGTATTAGTGCTAATAGAGTGAATATCTGTAGAAGAAGTAGATACTGTAGGAATAGTATTACTAGTACTATTACCACCAGATATTGTAGGGGAAGGAGAACTGGTAATAGGAGTATGGCTGCCAGTGGTGGTAGGAAGAGTACTACTGCTAGGGGCAGTATTTGCAGGAGAAGGCGTAGTGCTGTAAGGGATGGTAGCAGCAGGTGTAAAGGTAGTAGTACCCGCCGGGAAGGGAGTGTATGTGGTAGGAAGAGTACTACTGCTGGCAGAGGTATTCACTGGGGAAGGTGTAGTGCTATAAGGGATGGTGGTAGTAGGTGTAAAGGCAGTAGTACCTGTCAGGAAGGGAGTGTCTGTGGTAGGAAGAGTACTATTGCTAGCGGTCGTGTTCGTGGGGGAAGGCGGAGTGCTGTAAAGGATGGTAGTGGTAGGTGTAAAGGCAGTAGTACCTGTCGGGAAGGGAGTGTCCGTGTTAGGAAGAGTACTATTGCTAGCGGTCGTGTTTGTGGGGGAAGGCGTAGTGCTGTAAAGGATGGTAGTAGTAGGTGTAAAGGCAGTAGTATTTGTCGGGAAGGGAGTGTCCGTGGTAGGAAGAGTACTA